CGGCAGTGTGCCCATCGTTTGCGAAAATTGCATTCAAAAGCTGAGTCAGTTTTATAGACGGTGACACTATACGCCTGACATTCGACTCCCTTCTTTGATGACGCCTTAGTGCTCTAATGATGTCTTGAGCGTTTCCTTTTGGTTTTGCTGTGTTTCTCGTACTGACTTTTAGTGGGTGCAGGTGTGGTATCCTTTCCACCTGGTATTGCTTGTGCCGTTTCAGTACTAGATTGTGGCAATGCAGGCGTAGTATCAGAACAGACGAGACCTACACGAGTCTTTTGGATCAGTATGCGGGAACGGGTTGGTGTCCCTGGGTTTTGCCTTCTCTGGCTGAAGCCCTTGTGGCCGCAGAATATGGTGTTTTTGTGCTTTTTCTAAGGCTACTTTCGACAGCCGTATTGACAATTACTAAAACTTATGCCATATACGAATAAGAGTGCAGCAGTATCTACCCACAATAACAATCATAAGACTGATGAAGTAAAAGACAAGAAAAAGAAAAGGTTTTCGACTTTACCTAGTATTTTCTGGATGATCGGCTTCACTGCAATCACGTGGTAGACCAACAAGTCTCGTTTATCTGAACTAGTGAGGAAGATGCTGCTACAAAAGTGGCACCTGAAGATTTGGCAGTAGTTTGAGACAGCTGGACTTATCACACAGAGATTCAATATGTAAGTAATGGTTGAATTTAATTTACTGGCTAGAGAGATCAGGTTTCTCAAGCGATTAATTCCGGAAATAGGTATTTTCCGGTCAGAGAGGAAAAAGCACGTCGTATTCAAGGAGCGCGCGCGCTCAGTAGAAGCTTTGCCAAAAAGAACCTGCGAATAAGCATCTTTGAGATCTGTTTTGGGAAAGTATTTTGAGCCATTTAGCTTGTACAGAATGTTTTTGAAATAGTGCAGCTTTGCTGTAGTAAGTGACTACTAAGTGTAAGGTGGTTGTTATTCTTGGTTGATGATTCCCCCTCAGTCCATCATTCCAAATTGTTGTAAGCTCAAATATTGGCATTACCTAGCTGACCACTATCTACATTGTAGGCTTATATAAATGACGTCAGTCATTTCTAAGTACTGTGTTCATTAGGTTATTATATCTAGTCGGAATAATTGGATATATTAGACTGTGTTATCTCGGGTAATAAAGGTTCATAGAAGAATTCACCATCTATAGCAACTTAACTAATCACCTAATGGCATCCCCATCTATTAAACGATATGCTTCATATATCTTATATCTAACTAAGTGAGCTCTGCCGACTATGCTATTCGCGTGTTTTGTTTCGTTAATTAAAAATTTATAATGACTGATTATGTCCCATAATATATGACCCTGAATGTCTCGTTACTGCCTGTGCGCTTTTCCCTAAGAATATCGGCTTAACTAAAGCAATATGTTATGCCTCAATAACTAAATATCCCAATTCATCTACATAGCAAAAATACTCTTGATTATTGTTCGACGACTGCTTCGTCAATGATCTATGCTAGAATTGTTATTCAAGTATTCACTTTCAATGGGTAGTAGACTAGATGCCGATGAAATAAATCCAATGCCTCCTTCCCTACACCATTTCCTCTAATCGCATTATTCAGATGTGTTCGGGCCGGAACAAATAGATGCGATACACATGTTTAATCCTAACGTACTGTGGTTTTCACTGAATAAAAATGCAGATATTTTATCGGAAATTTATTTTAAAATAATCGAATAATATTATTACCTCATTATAAATTATTTAAATTAATCCCAGCTTGTTAAGAAAATCAAAACAAGATTTTTCTGAGCGTTTCGCTGTGTAAGCCACAGCTTCTTCAGCAGATTTATCCGGATTTTTATTAACCATCAAAATATATAGTGGAAATTTTTACATAAATTGAAGTCGTAACACTTACGGTCTGGAAACTAATAATATTAATACATGATGCTGCTTTATTTATTCTTGTTTTGCTTCCTTAGAGAATGCTGTTTGATGGGATTTTTTGTAGATCTTCCCTTTATTTTTTGTAAGTGGACCTGTGGCCGTATGTCTTTTTGATATATATCTTCTGGCTTTCAGCATCTTTAGTTTTCTCGGTCTGTGGTCGTTGGCGATTATCGTCACCAAGGTTAGCTCTCCCTTTGGAAACGAAGGAAGATGGGAGTCTTTGTTTGGCTGTCTGCGTCTCTGGTTCACTAGTCGAGCTCATAGAAGGTTGCGGGACTGGATGCCACTAATGTGGCATAACGCCATTATGTCTGTTTGGCTGTACTGTGGTTTTCTTCTCTTCAACATTTGGATTGCCAAGGACTGAAAGTCTTATGTTTTGCCCTGGCCAGCTTGTAATGATTGACCGTCGTGCTGGGATATGGATGTCGCAGTCCATGCAATCTTACTGGACTTTGAGAAGGCATTTGACACAGTTTACCGTGACCTTCTTCTATATAAAATATGTGAGACAGGTGTGGGTGGGCCGCCTTTGTCGTGATTGTAGGACTACCTGGATGGAAGGAAACTCCGCACTGAGATTAATCGTGTCCAATCATACTGGCATAGTGCGTCGCCACGAGTACCTCAGGGTTATATCCTAGTGACATTTATGTTTTCGATTTTTATCAGTGATCTACCATGCCGGCGATGCTGCCCGACTCTTCTTTACTCTGACGACGTAAAGATTTGGAGAGCGATAAAGTGCTCAGAAGACTCAGATAGGCCACAAGCGAACCCGAACTTCTGAAAGATTTTAAACTTGAAAAAGTGCAAAGTACAACAACTAAGTACTTGTTGGCAGCAGGATGTAAGTTGCACCCAGTGCAACGAAAACTTGTCCTGCACAACGTCAGAGCGTGACTTAGGTCTAGTTCTAACGGAAGACATGGATACAAGCGTGAATTACACAGGCGATGTAGCGAGGCCATACGCCTTACACGTGAACAGTTGGGTGCACGCAATCCTTAGCTCATTTTAAGGTTGTACAAAACATAAGTGAGACCACATCTAGAAGTGCAAAATATCATTGCACTGCCACTGCCTAGAAGAGACTCTGTCCTCTTGAGAAGGGAGCAAAGATGTGCGACAAAAACAGTGATGGGTATCTGAAACAAACCGTGTGTTGAACAGCTGAAGAAAAGAGGTGTCTCCACACTTAGCCGCCGTCGGCTTAAGGGGGACTTAATTACTGCCTACAAGATAAAAATGGCCAGAATCACTCAAACAAATGTGTTCTGCCATTAAGTACGTACGGGCTTCCCCGTGGGAATCCGAGAAAGATAGCTCATCAGAGGGCAAGGACCCGGGTGCGCTCCCACTTCTTTTCACTACGAGTTTGCCGTTCCTGGAACTCTCCAACGGTAGATATAGCCACGGCATCGTCCATAGACAGTTTCAAGCGGAGGCTGGACAATCATGCAGCCACAGAAGGACTGCGTCCAAATGGCCTATCCCCTTAAAATCCCATACACCATTCAGGGGCGGACAACTAAATTCGTCTTTTTACTTCTTTACATTCTCTCCCGTCTTACTCTCCTGACAACTTTAACTACACTTATTATTATCATCATTATTGCCGATATATATTATTCATATTATTCTTCAAAGTTAATCAGCTGACTGTTGTTGCGTTTTCTTTGATTCTTTTTCTGTCTGTTAGTCTGAATAACTTCACCAATTATATCTATTATTATCTCTTTTCTTTTGATGAAGATAACGGAGGACTAACTGGTGAAAGGATCAACTCCATTCACAGTAGTAACAGTCTTAACACACCTCATACTACAAACCACATATGATTAATCCTAGCACTACTCCTTTTGGAGTCAAGCAAAGCTACGACAGTCGAGTGGCCGGATGAGCTACGCAGAAGTTTACCGAAGATCAGGAACCTATACCTGACAATCAAGAGGCGAGCACAAAGAAATCAAATTGGTTTATTATTATTGTTTCTTTGGGTTCCTAATGGAACATAGGTCTGCATGTCTTCACTAGCTTCTGTCTTCTGCTGTACTTTTCACCTGCATTCATGTTAGTCCATACTGCTTTAGTTCCACTTCACACGATCTCTTCCATATCACCCTTGCACTGACGTCTCACTCTCCGCTTCCCTTTCGGGTTCCACTCGAGCACTGGCCTGACGCGCGATGTCACCCAGCGGCCTCCTCAGTGAGTGTCCAATCCATCTCCACTTTCTCCTGCATATTTGTTGGGCGATTGGTTCTTGTTTCGTTTGTTCCCATAGTTTCTTGTTGGTGATTCTTTCCGGCCATCTGATCTTCAGTATAGAACGAAGACAGCTGTTGATAAAGGTCTGCAACAGGCTGTTGGAAATATTCTTTGTCACCCGCCAAGTTTCTGATCCGTATAGAAGAACTGACTTGACGTTTGTATTGAAAATCCGAATTTTGTTGTTGATGCTGAGTGACGAAGATTTCCAGATTGGTTTCAGGTTGATGAATGTGTTTCTCACCTTCCCGATTCTCGATTTGACATCCTCGTCCGTTCCTCCTGTAGTTGAGACAATGCTCCCCAGATAAGTGAGGTGAATGAAGTAACCTCTTTCAAATCCCTCCCGTTGATGGTGATTGGCGTTGGATGTTGCTGCTGTTGTTGTTGTTGGTTGGTTATTTTCATAACCTCCGTCTTGTCTATGTTCAACTGGAGTCCTGTCTTTGCTGCTTCTTCGACCTCGCCTAGATTACTAGCTCACTAGTTTTCTAGCCGGTCCTTAGCTCGGATAAAGAGAGAGGGTTGGGGCGTGGTGCTAGCAACTCCACTTCCAAAACTTAACCAAATCGCTACAGAAACTTCAACGCACAAATTGGTTTATACTAGCTCGTAAAAACGACACTGGATATTGGATACACTATGATTAACTATTGTAATCATTATTATGATTGATATAAATTTATTAACACAAAGAAATTATATAGGTTTACACTAGCTTGTAAAACCGATGATGGATATTGGATGAGTGTTATAATCATTAACTATATATAAATTGCATATATTTTCTAATCACCGCTAATTTGTAGGAGAACGGTACGATTACTATTATGACAGCTAGCGATGCAGATATTAGAGAGTTACAGTCTAATGCACGGAAAGTACTCACCAGCACTAGTGATCCTCTAGAAAAACTTAAATGTCAATGTCTTTTAAGAGGAGCTAATGGTATATATGGATTTGGGAGACAGTTCCGTATAATGGATGATGACGGTAGCAAGTCGCTGTCTAAAGAAGAGTTCAAAAAAGGCTGTCATGATTTTGGATGTAACTTGTCTCCTGAAGAGGTTGATGAGCTATTCAAAGCGTTAGACAAGGATGGAAGTGGGACAATAATTTTTGACGAATTTCTACGAGCATTGCGAGTATGTTACTCACCATATCACTAGTGAAATATTTAGCCTCCTATGTCAGAAGCACGTATAAATATCATTAAGAAGGCGTTTGCAAAGATGGATAAAACTGGGGACGGGAAAATAACGGTAACTGTTTACTTTGTTATATATTAATCACTTTTAATATATGTGTAAAACTTGGGCATTGTGGCAGTAAGTAATTCCATATTAGTTTGTTTATTAGATGTATCACGCAGCGAAACAGTATTATTTACTGGATGACGTTTCAAACAAAATTTATTCTTCATAATCATATCAATTATAATCACACGACTTCGAAACTTGAGTTTTATAGTTTTCTTTGTCCTCTCCTATTTGTCGCCATTGGGGTAGTAGAATTTTCCAGATATCTGGAACAGGTGTTGAATCATTCCTATTACACGTGTTTGCAGTTGATTCGATAAACAAAGCTTCCGTTATCAATCTCTCCCTCCACCCTGTTACATTAGATTTTAAAACTGTCATCTTATCTCATCCATCACATTGTACGATTGTGTGTAATTGCATGTGGTGAGTGTTATAGTTGAACTATTCTCTAGATTTCTTATCTTATTCGAGTCAACCAATCTAGATTTTGCTAGGTTTTTATGCTCGGCTAGTCTGACTGCGCCTGTTCTACTACTTTGACCTGACAATCATTCCAGCAGGGTATTAGATGAACTGAATTGTTTTGGTTTAAAGGCTCCACAGGATCCTTTAAACGACAAAGCTTGTTTCTAATTCAGTTTGTGGGTTTGAATGCCAGCCACTTTCATTCCTGCCTTGTTAAGAATTCTGCGTGAGGTGGTTTCCGAGGTTCCTTTCTTGTATGGAATTACTAGTGATGATTTAGATTCCTTATTGTTGGTGTTGTCTTGCGCACATTTCACTTGCATGTAGTCATTAATATTATTATCATTGTTATCACTATCACTACAATCATTATTTATTTTATTTTTACATTTCCCTACATATTTCCTGACTAATTTATCAGGGTAATTATTAAGTTTCAAGGCTTCTCTTATATGTATCACTTCCTGTCTTAGATTTTCTTTGGTACTACTTAGTTTTTGTGCTCTGTCACTTAAACATTTCACCAATCCTAATTTTACTGACATAGGATGGGATGATTGGAAGTACAAATATCTGTCTGAATGTGTGGGTTTCCTGTAAACACTAGTGATTAACTTCCCATCTTCTTTCGTTTTTACACTGCAATCTAACATTGGCAGTTCCCCTTCCTGACTTTCCAATTCATAAGTGAATTGAATTGCCTCCACCTTTGAGTTAATGTGTTCGAAAAATCTATCTATATCTTGTGTTCTAAGTACAGTGAATGTGTCATCTACATACCTCGACCATACATTTGGGTTGGGGGTGAACGTTTCAATTGCTATGTTTCCCCACCTATCCATGAATATATCTGCTACAACCGGGGATACTAGTGACCCCATGGCAACTCCCTCAGTTTGTTTGTATATTTTCTTTTGAAATTTAAATACTGTGGAAGTCAGGCACAGCTGCACCCCCAGCATTATGTCCTCAAGTGGCACTTCCATCCTAGGTTCAAGTTCTTGGTCAGAAATGAGTTCGTTTCTGACTGCCTCTATAGCCATATTAATTGGTATATGTGTATGTAAACTGACAATGTCAGAACCAACCATTTTCTCTTCATAATCTAATTGTAAATTATCTAATCTATGTTTTAGTTCATGAGAATTTGTTAGTCTAGATTTCGAGTGGCTTTTAAGGGGATTTAATAGCATGGCTAAATATTTAGGTAATTTATAAGTAGGTGAATTTCTAAAATCAACTATAGGTCTAATAGGGTATCCTGACTTATGAGCTTTAACAACACCATACATCCTACTGGGGTTATCAGTTTGGGGCATTAAATTAAACCACTTAGACTCACCTAGAAACGAATTCATTCGGCGTATAAGGTTCGCTGTGGATTTCTTAACTTTATTCATAACTGTTTGTTATTAGTTTTAGGCAGTTTAATTCTACTACCCCTACAACAAATAGGAGAGGACAAAGAAAATTATATAACTCAAGTTTCGAAGTCGTGTGATTATAATTGATATGATTACGAACAATAAATTTTGTTCGAAACGTCATCCAGTAAATAATACTGTTTCGCTGCGTGATACACCTAATAAACAAGCTAATATGGAACCATTCTCTTTGTTTTTAATACTTAATTTAGCCCCAACTGAAACCGAACTTTTTTCTATTCTTTTATTACACGCTTTTCACTAAAATCTTTTTGTGTATTTTTTTCGTAACCACTTGGAATAACCATGTGACTTGAATACAGCTGTCATTTTTAAATTATTCCGTGGTTTGACGTTAAAATGTATACTAGCATTGGTTCATATAGTTATTGTAAAATCTTGCATCTCTTTTGTAGACGGACGATTTACGCAACGTTTATCAAGTTAAACATGACGCCAAGTATCAGTCTGGTAAGGCGACTGAAGAACAAGTCTTGAAAGAGTTTCTAAAGACTTTCGAAAGCGAAAAGTCCGTGGATGGTTCTGTAAGTAACGTGATTTGAGCATGTTTCTGATCACATTTAATTTGTTTAAGTTGGTCTGAAGACATTCTCCTAGCAAGTAAATTAGAAGGTGGCTTTTAACTTCCGCGACTATGCATAGCGTATATGGCGTACATACTGCTTTGTAACTTCAGTGATTAAGTTATTGTTATTGAATATTTTTGATTCTTTCGATATTCAGCTATCTTTATGGAGCTTTATTTCTTCAGAGGAGTTAGCATTTAGATATGTATGGTAAAAATTATGATTGGTATTTTGTTTATTCTCATTTTCTTATTCCTCCTCACACATTCTCATTTTTGTATTTTGATTGAATTTCTTTTCTTTGCCTTCATGTGTGGTTGTAGAAGTTGTGTCAACTTGGAACCCCGCCCTTTTGCACAGAGTCTTATGTTGGTAATTCGCTTCATTTTTAAGGGAGGTTAGATTTTTTGTGTAGTTAGTTGTACAGGTTTCGTTGAACTGCGGAAGTCATATCTAGCATAGTCATTCCATCCGCTGCATAATTATTATTCATAAGAGCAACAGAATATTTTATATGCTACAGGGGGTTTTGATATAAGAATAGAACTTGTGTACTGTGGTAGAGTTTAATTCCATTGCGGGTAAAATTTATTTTGATAAAGTCTCAAAGTGTTATATATCAATATTTACTGATGACGTTTCGAGCACAATTTATTGCTCATAATCAAGTCAAGTGATGAAAAATAATGGAATTATATAAACGAAGTTAGAAAGTTGTGTGAGTACCGTGATATGATTATGAGCCATAAATTGTGCTCGAAACGTCATCATTAAATATTACTGTATAACACTGAGACTCTATCGAATTAAATTTTACCCACAATGCAAGGGGTTATCCCCTTACAATAGAATTATATTACTGTTATGTCGCTGTTATATCATTTAGAGTGGTATTTCATCACGTACGATTGCGTTCAGATGCCTTAGGGTTTTTAGTTACTTCCACATCAAATGTGTGTAATCACAAAGCAGTGTGTGACTCAAAGTCACCGTGCTGAGAAAATTATCTTCCTATGTTTGTTAATTTATCTTGTTAATTATTTCATTTGTTTGATATGTCAATAAGCCTGTTGATATATATATATATAATATATATAGTGTAAATTCTTATAAGACATAAAAAATTTATCACGTTCTAGACCCCTGTGCTCCACCTGTTTCAGGGCATACTTTCCTTTCCTTTGTTTATCTGACAGATAATTTTATTTGTTTACTTGCCTTATTCCTTCAAGTCGCCTGTAGAGGTGTATGCTGCTTTATGCTTTTACAGACAAAAAAAGCAGTAATTCGTGACGACAGCTAGCAGTAAAGAAGGTGGACATGCTTGGCTTCGAAAAGCTTATTGATGTACTAATCTTATTATCGAAAATGAAGGAAGCCACAAGAGAGTTTAGTGTCGGATCACAAGCAGTGATCATAAGCTTGCCTTATTGCGATGATGGAATTCTGTCCTTTCTCTGTCACTGTTTGATATTCGAGCTATTTATAGTGATTGTTGTGAAATATTATTAATATGTTATATGAAATTACTGGGATAGTTTTCCGTTGCATCATTTCAGGTCACATGGGAAGAATTTCTTAATTACTACAGTGGCGTAAGTGCGTCAATAGATTCGGATTCTTATTTCGAATTGATGATGTGGAAAGCATATGGCTTATAATAAATTCATTCTTAACGTGAATGTTTATCGGAATATTATGACCAACCATTGAACTAAACATTCCATGTTGTCAACTCTTACTTAATCATTCAAACGTACAGGAATTTTGCAAATTACTTTATTCAACAAGGAACATCGCACTAAAATTAGCATTTTGATTTTGTTATTTCTTCACATTACTGTTGCACTCTTATAATATCATGATACTATGTTTCTCATAAAAAAGATGAAAATATCTAATTTATCGTTTAGCAAATACTTTTTTGTTTCCTCCGATAGATTTTGTGGGGGATGGTTTAGGCATTTTTAATAATGCAAATAAGGTATTTAAAAATTGTTTTCAGTTCTGTGAAAAATCGAATACCTGACGGATATTCCTGTCATTTTCTAGGCCAAGTAGTAAAGTTGTTAAGCTTTATTTCTATTCTTACTCCGAGTTTGCCAGTTACATGTGATTATCACTGTTATCAAAATATTACTGCCAAACTTTTCAAGAAGCAAGCAGTTTTCAGGAATTCGAACATATCATTTGGTCACGATGTAACAAAAAATCCTCTTCATTTCAAGGACTCGACTTATTTTGACAACCGAACTTTTAAATGATTAGTGGGAAATAATTAGGTATTTAATGATTACATTCAACCTTGAATGTCTGTTCATTATCCGATAAGTATTAGCTAGTTATTCTATTATGTTTTACGCTTCATTGTATTTAATGATTAGTTTTTGTAGTCATTCATTCATCCCACGATTACGTGACACGCGTGACTTAAGGGAATTAAGTTGATATTTTGAGTTATATGAACCATTAGCATCCAATCACAATATATCACCTTGACCTGTCAATCGATTAACGCTTCACAATCACCCATCTTATCACGACTGTGTGTAACTTTACTACAGAAGTTTAGTCGGTTGATTTACTCGTTCTCTTTGTCAACATGGATGGTTTAACGTTACACTGTACTGTATTTAGTGTTTATGCCAGAAAATCGATGTTCTTATCCCAATATATCTGGTAGTTCCTTGTAAGCTACAGAATTTATCACTACGCCGACACACTAATCCCTGTTATCTTACAATCAAACACAAACTAAAGTAGTGACTAGATTTTTAACAAAACTATTCAACTGACCGATATAACATTCATCTATTTTGTGTCCCCAGCTCATTGCACATCTTCACAGTCGAGTCATTTGCTGTCGTTCTAATGCAAAGTCTGAAAGTGTTGGTGTTTCATTGCACGGAAAATAAATGAGGTTTCTAACGGTAAAATTTAGAGTCATTGAAATTAAATTAAGATATTGTCAAAAATATATCTTATGGAAGAAGTGAAAAGTGGTTTTTCAATTTGAAATATACGAGTTGGTTTCATAACTGTGTGGAGTTATATGATTGACTCCTAGATATTATCCGTAGATTCGTATATGATATTTTGGTGTTCAGTTAATGTGTAACTTTCTCACTACAACTATGATCTCAGCAGCAACTGATAGTTCCATTTTACTGATAGTAAGACAGAGAGTTTCCTGAAATTGAATATTCTTCTATAAATTAATTCAGCTGTGTTTGATGATGTGACCATCCAAATAAGTGGACTCATATATTAGCTAATAACCTGAAACATACAAATAATTTAGAGTTTACGGTACTTACGAAGAAAACCCAGTTAACTTGGTAAATTGGTTTTATGACATTTTTCCCCAGTAAATATTTTTGGAAATTGTGAAATTCCTAACTGACCACCCTTAGTGTTGACATCTTTGATTTAGACATTAACTTACTGGTTAAAAGTTAAATATACCATCGATCCACATAATAACGCTTCAAAACTCAGTCATACTGTATTCTTGATATTACGCAATATGTATTTTTCTAAAACACTTTATTAGATTTAGCCTATGGGCTTTCAACATATCATACGAACATGTCTGCAGAAAGTTCGGTGAACTATCTGAAAGTCAATACGTAAAGTTACACGATTTAAAATTTCGAATTACAGAATTGTGTAGTCTAAGTATTTCGCTTTCACCAAATTTTTAGTTATGATGACTTTTCAACTTTTAAATGACAATATATTTACAATAATCAAAGAATAAAGCAATAATTTTGTCATTTGAGAATTGATAAGTAAGATCTTAATGTTATTCCTAAATTTCTGCAATAAATACGACTTGATTATATATTGCTTAAGCCACTACTCAGTCTGTGGTGTGTAGACGAGTTCAGTTGTGTTTGTAGCCTCATGATATGCTTCTTTCTAAGTAGTTTATTTTAGATATCGAAATTATCGAATTCAAATCTGTCTGCATTTATCTCCGATATTTGATTTTGTCTGCATTTCTGCATAATTTTCACTGAGTGTTCATGAGGTAAAGTAAGAAATACAAGATTTTCTCTATTTGATGGATGTTTTGTTGAACTCTCCATTGCTGTTGTACACATACACCTTTTACTTTGATAATGTGATAAATCAGAAGTTGTGCACGCAGGATACGTAATATTAACTGTGTGATCAAAGTCGTCCTGATCTTCATATTTGAAATAAGTTCCGAGTTCATTGTAATAGACTGATTGTTGTTGCATCGGACTAATTTCTTGTGGTGTTGAGGCGGTACACATTGGGCAAGTTGATGAATCATTTAATAACTTTTGTGAAGGTAGATTTTTCTTCTGATTAGACTTATATTGCTGCCGATTAGTTAACTGTTGTTTGTGCTTAAACATCAAAATTAATATAACGCATACAATAAAGTTCATTAAAAGCAGTGAACAGCAAATATAAGTTAGTTGATTCATAGTAAGACATGATAGTAGAGTGCACTTAGCTGTAAAAAAAAATAAAATAAAAAATAGTATCACTGAAAGTTGTCACCTGCAATATGAATTCTGAAGTCAAATAGGTATTATCGTGTTGTTAGCCTCTACGCTTTCAGATTAACCCGAGGTAAACTAACCAGCTTTTGCTATTTAGAAGGGGGAGGGTTGGAATCTGGATAAAAACAGGAAATGCATGCAGTTGCACTTTTGTGGACGATTATGAGCCATATGACCAACAGTTACAAACCACTTATTCTTAGCATCCAGCTGTGGTCTATGTAGTAGTTAGTTAGTGTACAGATGGCCGAAACCAATAGTATGAGACTCCATTGGATCTATGCAATATATTGTTGCCTTACTAAGTGCTTTTCAATCTGGTTCTTTTTCAGCCAACGTTGATTATCGAGAAAGGTTGTACCTCGGCAAATGTGACATTCTAGCCATCTCGGCTTTCATTAGCCTTAAGTCAACTCTTCAGGATAGCTTCTACAGAACCAGTTCAGTTACACGTCACTTACTTAATGTGATATAGGTTCGGCACGTATCTCGTGTTGGTTAGTCTTTGAGCATCTGACGTATATATAATCGTAGTTTTATTGAGTCAGTCAGTATGACATCACTTCCGATTTTTCTCTCATACGATTTGGATTCACTTTTCATTAATGCCGTAGAATATCAATGCTTTACTAAGATTTGTTGTTTTCCAAATGTTTAAATGGGAATTTGCAGTCCTGAAGGCATCACTCAGTGAAAACAATCGTATGCTATATGCCGTCTTTCTCTCATTTCAGAGGTGTACGCCTGATTAAGTAAATAGCACTAGTTAAACCCTACCTTTGGAAATATAGTGACCTGATATTTTCATGGGAGTAGATGTATATAATAAATAATGATACACAAAAGTGCTTAAATTGGATGTAAGCACTAGCCTACATAATTTAAAGAACTAAGAAGTACTGGTCAGCTATATTCGTTATAATACTGAACCCTTCAGTCGAACCTCACTAAAATTGAACCTGAGATCTTTCCATTACAAAAGAAGTGCGTAACCATTCAGTTACTGGTAACATTTGGGAAATGATCTATTAGATGGTTGGAGGCAATCGGCAAAAACCCTTGGACCCAGGTTTAGTGCTAGTTGGCACTTGTCAGCAAGGCGTAACTGCAACCTTGAAGAAACTCAAGTTCCTTCTGAGACTCGAACCCGTGTCACCCATTTCTGCAGTCAGAGATGTTACCACTGAGCTACTTGGGCTAGCGATTGACCTGTTGAACTGTATTGGGTACTTTTGATCGGACACTAGTTAGCAACTAGTGGTCAAACTCGTAAAAACAAATCTAATCCTTACAAACCAACTCTTGAAAAGACTTTTATATTAGCCCGAGTAAACTCATCAGATAAAATTAAGCGTAACTAATATCAGCATATGGTAGGACGCGAAATACACATGTTTTACTTATTTTAATTCATGTTTGAGTTAATAAATTTTGTTTGAAAATATAAAAGGAACCATATTGAGAAATGTACCGTTATGTGAATGAACTTGATTTGTTGTACGAAGGATTAATTTATTTTACTAAATCAACATATTATTTGAATGTTTAAGGGCGTGTCTTTTAGTATTATACTGTTTCCTTCAATCACCAGCTTAATTACATGTTCAAAAGAACAATCACACCCAAATTCACTATATCAATAAGGTGTTTTCATTGTATTAGTTTATACAAAATTGAACGAATTCCTAAAAAAACTACGTGGAAAACAAGCAGCTGTATACCTGTACTTTACATGCTGCACGTGCAAATGTCAAATAGAAACGTATTCAATTTTATCAAACCAAAATAACTGAATAAAAACGAAGTAAAATCCTTCCGGAAGTTTCTCAAGGATTAAACAACATCGACTGCAGTTGTAAAGAAATACCAGATTCGAACAACGCAGTAATACCCTTACTTAATTGCTTTCAAATACTAATTTTGAAGTACCACAGATGAGTACCTATCCTCACATCCGAAGAATCAGTCACAAATTCCTATTACACTTGGATCCTGAAGTTAGTCATCAATGAGCAATATATCATTGCAAACATGACTGATAGAATTCAGTGTGCACCAAACAGAGGACCAGAGACATTACACTAGTTGCTAACTAGAGTCCGATCAAAAGTACCCAATACAGTTCAACAGGTCAATCGCTAGTTGAAAACCAGGCAGTTCGCGGTGGGTAACTGACAGCCTCTTAGAGTTTCATTTTTCTACTGTTAATCTACAAATATTTTAATTTTCTGCGAAAGATATTTATAGTGCTTTACAAGTCTTTGAGTCTAAAATGAATAATTACAGGAGGTACCGTTCAAGGCATACCCTCAGTTCGTGAAGGTTTAAATGACGCTACGTACCATTGTTTGATTGGTACTAATAGTTAGATACCACTCATATCAACCAGTTGTGCTTCTTAGTCAAATCCAAATCATTTAGCACGCACCTACTTCGGAGAAAACGAATTTAAGTTTCTCAACAAGGTGAACTGCTTATGCTGACCTTAAGTAGTCCTACCTTAGGAGTGGTTATCTCTTTGTTATTGAAATGGGATTAAGCTAAATAGTTTTAGATGTCCGCTCACAAACCAAACCAATTATTTACAGTTCGTATGTTTCTTATCTCATGTGAAGAAATGCCTTTGAATTTGTGACAGACACTGAGGTGGATCTATAAAACATCATACACTAGTAATGTATACAGTGTGTTGTGCTAATTTCTAGTGAATGTGTTGTGTAAATTACACATAACAATGGAAACAGATGAAGATTATATCGAAACGGAAATGTTAACGGTTAAGAAAAAAGAAAAGCTTTATAGATTGAGCCAGTGAAATAAAGGCTTGAAGTTAAAAAACTATCTTTCTTATTAATCAGTCATCAATGGAAGAGATATGTTAGATTATATTTACTTTAGCCTATCATTACAGTTATCGTATTAACTGAATATTACAACCAATCTTGTGCGTATAATGACATCGAGTCGGTTAGGGTGATCAGTGCTTAGTATTTTTTTTCATTTGTAAACTTTGAACAGCAAACATCATCTACCAAGTGAAACAACCTATGGGATATTCTATATCTCTGATTCCCCTAGATTAACGAGACTTACTGTTTAACTGATGTTTCAAGTAAATTAAAGTAAAAACAACAAGAAGCTTATCTCCAGCTATGGTGTTTCTCTGTTGTAAATAAGTGATTTCCAAAGATCGTCAGTAGTTAATGTATACCAAAGTAATTTACAAACAGGATACTTGCGAATCTAGGAAGAACAGCCTAAAGTATCCCTAATTAACATAGAAACAGAACTTGGGCACTGCAGCAGAGTATATTTCCATTAAGCAGAAAATTTTATTTTGATAACATCTCACAGCGTTATTTACTGATAACGTTTCGAGCACAATTTATTGCTCATAATCATATCAAGGCACTCACACAACTTTTTGACTTCGTTAACATACAAGAGTAAAAAATTGACTAGGCATATGAATGAATAAAATAAAAGTCAATATAAAAGTTCAGTATACATGCGTGAAACGGAAAGGAAGAAAAAGTACATGAGCAAATTACTGCTGTACAAAAGATACGTTGATGACACTTTTATAGTTCGTCATGATTCTGATTTGAATCGTACCTTACAGGAGCTTAACAATTGCCATCCTTCAATCAAATTCACAATGGAAGTTGGAAATGGATCAAAGATTTCATTTCTTGGACTTCGAATTGACAAGAAGAGATGATGGAACTCTAAAAAGATCTATCCACAGAAAAAAGTCACGGAATGGCCAAATGACACACCTCTACAGTGGAATAGCTATCAGTCAAAAAAGAGCTCTCGTCATCTCGCTGGCCCACCGTATCAGAAGAATTTGCAGCAGTGACTGCTTAGAAGAAGAGCCATTTGTCAAAAGCATCCTGCCTCAAAATACATATCCGACGCATTTCGTGAAGAACATCAAAACAAAGCCAAAGTGGGAAGAATGAAATTCAGTGCCAAAGAAGACACTATATTTGAATGCGTAATCCAGGGTAGACCTAGCAGCAGATATTAATAAAAGGAGGATCTCCAGTTCCCTAAAGAAGACCTTTCCTGCAACAACTCTATGAGTAATATTCTCCAGCTGCCTACTGCTTCGGGGCAATGCGAAGGACAAACTTCCTCATACGACCACTTCATTGTGCGTATATCAGTTCACCTGCTCGTGTGGAGCTAGGAACATAAGTTGTTCTATGCGGATCCTATAAAAACATGTAAGAGAACATTACACAGCATGGCTGCAAAGAGAAGGCAATGGTTCAATCAAGAGCGGCGTAACTGAACACCTTGTCAATACCTGTCACAGCATCTTAACTGATTCATCATTCAGAGTCATTTACTAAGTGAACAAAAATCTACCAAAAGCTGGATGTTTCCGACTTCGTTGTACTATAGGAGCCCTCACCACAAGCATCGAAAAGCCGAAGTTATGCTTTCAAAAGAAACTAGTCCAACGTCTACATTTACCAAGGATTTAATTTGGTTTGACTCCTTAATTTTCGTTATTGTTTTCTTCATTTTCAGTCATAAAAAATTAATATTTCGATTTGTTTCCATGCTCATCCTATGCACACCTGTATTCTGTGAAAGCTATTTTCTAATGCTGTGTAATTTTGCTTCTAAGCTCCTTGTAATCTATATTCACATCTTTAAATTTTCATATCAAATTGAAAATTATTATCACCTTTAATCTCCTTTATCATTATGTGGAAATAAATAATAATTGTATCTATGTAAACTTATGTATATAAATGCGATTGGACAGCTTTTGAGAATGAAATCGCCGAAAAGATATCTCTACTGAACTTCTTATTCTTTTCTTTCTAAAATCCTTTTCACAATCTGAGACTAGGTACGTTGAATTACGATCAGCGAGAGTCACTCAAAGTGAAGAGAAAAGTCGATTAATATGTATTTTTAGTCATCTCATCGT